TTTTACAAACTGTGTGCACCAAAGTTTGGCTTATGTAAATTTATAATAATTATATCTTCTTAATGGATTGTTCCCTTTATTATATAAATATATATATAATATATATATATATTTATATTTATATATATATATATATATTTATATATATATATATATTATATATAGTTAGATCTTGTGTTTAAAATGAATCAGCCAGTCTTTGTGTTTTGATTAAAGAGTTAAGTACACTTACATTTAGGGATATGATTGAGAGGGTTTTAATATTCACTGTGATTTTGTTGTGGTTTTTTCCAAGTTGGTTTGAGTATAGTTTGTTCTATCTTTTGTCATTATTCATCCTAAGATTTTGCTGGTGTGTTGACTTGAATGTGTTTGATTTTTTTTTCTCAAGTCTCATGTGTTCATCTATTCCTCTCTTGAAATGTATTCTTTCCTGAGCTTTGTTTTTTTGTGATTGTTTTTCTTTCTCTTCTGTATGTAGCATTCCTTTAACTATCTTCTGCAGTACAGGCTGGTTGCTTATGCTTACTTTAAAAGTTTTTTATCTTTCTATTGAATTTGAAGGATAATTTTACTGGATATAGTAATCTTAGTTGGCAGTTATTTTCTTTCAGACCTTGGAATATATCATTCCATACTTTCCAGTTTTTAGGGTTTTTGCTGAGAGGTCTGCAGTAATTCTGATGTGTTTACCTTTGTAAGTAAGTTAGCACTTTTCTCTTTCAGTGTGCAATATTCATAACCTAGAAGGCAACACACATGTACAGGAAATTAATGTGAGTCAACTCCCTGTATAGCTATCCTTATCTCAACCAGGAACACTTGTTCCTTCCTATTATTGTCTATACTCTCTCTTCAACAAAATTAGAGATAAGGGCAAAATAGTTTATGCTGGGTATTGAGGGGGTGGGGGGGAGAGAGAGGGGGCAGAGTGGGTGGTAAGGGAGGGGGTGGGGGCAGGGGGGAGAAATGACCCAAGCCTTGTATGCACATATGAATAATAAAACAATAATAAAAAAAAGATTGCAATATTCATTGTTCTTTCAACTGTATTGATGTGACATGAAGAGATTCTTTTCTGTTTTTCTGGTCATGTCTATACTAAATACCTTGTGTACATGAGTACCTTTATATTTTCCAAGATTTGGGAAATTTTCTTCTATAATTTCATTGGATAGTTTTACTAGGCCTTCTAGGTTGTCAGCTGCTTCTACCCCATGGATTCTTTGGTTTGGTCTCTTCATTGTGTCCCCAAGTTCTTGAGGATCTAATCATGCTTGTTTAGTTTCTTCTTTATTGTTTGGTACAAAATATCCTTGCTCTTATTTTCAATTCTTGATATCCTCTCTTCTGCTTGATTTAGTCTACTACTTATGTTTTCCATTGTGTTTTTTGTTTGATTTATTGAGCTTTTAGTTTGCAACATTTCCATTTTTTCATAATCTCAATCTCCTTCTGAATTTCTTATTCATACTGATAACTCTCTTGTCCAGGTCTTGAACTGATTTTTTTTTTTGTAGTTACAAAGCCCTTCCTGTGAGCCTTTATTATGGAACCAAATTCTTCTAGGACTTTGAACTCTTTCTTAGATGTTGAACAGTCAGCTTTTACATCTTTAAGCCAGGAGACATGACCACCTCTCTTCCAGTTGAACTGATTTCTTTACTTCATTTATCTATTTGAATCCTCTTTGAGGTCATTGATCATTTCTAACATAAATTTTTGAACTGTTTTATCTGGCATTTCAGCCAATACAGTATATTTGAGTTCAGTTATTGAGGTGTTAGGAACTTTTTGAGAAATCACATTACTTCGCTTTTTCATATTATTTCTGTTTATACATTGTGATTTTTACATTTGTTAGATTGTATATCTCTTTCTCTACCAGAGAAGAGAAAATATGCAGATATAACTCAATTAAAAATCAGATATTTAAATGTAATAAAACACAATTTGAAATAGCAACTATACCACCAATAAGGTTATAGAATAAAGGAACTAGGGGTTCATATGGGATAAGCTAGGAGTCAAAAATATTAAAGGTATGTGTATTTAAAAATTAAATAAGAAAAAGAAGGGGATAGATAGAGGAAAAAAGAAGGAAGATGGATAAAGGAGGCAGAAGTATATGGGAAGGAATAAGGAATAATAGTGTGAGAGAACTCAGTGTAATTATTATAGAGAAAGACAGCACAGGCAGGGAATAAGAAGAAAAACAGTGAAAATAAAGAAAAAATAAAAATCAGTACTTCTTCCTTGATAAGGAGGTTGTATACCAGCTGAGCCCCATAAGGGCAACAGATGTTTAAAAATTAAACATGCGAGTGTTTGCTTAAAGTTTATTGTGTATGAAAATACTATGGTCTAATAACTGACACAAGATTTTTTATTGTATGTCTGTCTGATATGTATTTTTCATGTTTAATTTTCAATGATTCTTTGTTTATGTCATATGTATATTTCTTTTAATTGCATATACTTTTTAAAAAATCAAGCCTTATAGTCATTGTTTCATAGCTATTGAATTTAGAACATGTATATGTTTTTATTATGATTATAAATAGGACTAGAATTATTTCTACTATCTTACTTGATACTTTAATTATTTCAACTTTTTCTGTTTTCCCCTTCATTTCTTTTGAAATATTCCATCTCTTCCAATCCCCTCTTTTAGTTTCCTTATGTAAGTATATTACAGCTTTTCTTTTTTTCCTCCTTGTTCCTTAACTTCGTTTTCATAGGAGAGTACAATATTGTTAAACTTTGTCTTCTTGTGGTGTGTTTTTCATAATTTCTCCAGATTCCATCTTTTTACAGGCTCAGTCATGCATTTTAAAGAGCGTTTGTTTTATTAAGTCCAGCATTCCTGGGTGTTTGAAATGGAGAAGTTTCCAGGATATCTAGTTTGCCATATTCCAGACAGCAAGTTCTGTTATCAAGAGATCTGTATGATAGCCCTGACTTTCTCCTTATCTAGCTGTAAGAAGGACATGCAAGTCATTTAACCTTTCTTGAGTTTCTCATTTTCAAAGTTATAAGGCTAAAGAAGGTGACCTTGTGCAGATTTTTGTTTCTTTAACATATGACTCCATATGATTGATACTCATTTTTAGCTGATATGCCATTCTGCAGTATCATATTGAATGTCCTTTTTGTTTTGTTTTGTTGCCCAAAACTTTATTAAGTGCTAAAAATAATTATCCATCCTCTTTCAGCCTCTAAAGTTGACTGCACATTTGGGGAGTCAGGAAACAGTCTGTTCCGAAGGCTGTGCCAAGATATGCGAGCTTGGCCAAGTGGCTTAAAGGCTGTTTACCTTTATCTCCTTCCCACTGTTGTAGATATGGACATTAATGCCTTAAAATGCATATAAATAGCACTGTACTAAACTTTGAGAATAGGATCTGCTTGTGCATAGGAAGTGATGACTTTAAAAGGAAAGAAAGTAGAAAGAAAACAGAAGTTTCTATCTTCCTCCTACTGCTGGAAGCCCCTTCCTTCAATTTTCCATGTTGAATTTTAGATCAAGGTAATAAAGAGAAAACTCAGTATTTTAGCTCTATCGTTGACCTCAAGTTATGTATGAACAGGAAATAGCAAGATTCTAATGGTAGAAGGAACACCTTTAACAAGGAACAACTCTATGTACATATGGGAACATTGCTGCCAAGATGGCCTCCAGTGGGATCAACCTGGATACTGGGTCACTACATTAGAATTCCGTAAGTTGAGGTTGAAGCAGAATTTCTCTTAAGTTCACACAGAAGAGTTGTTGTAGAACCATCACGTTATAACTGGGGTCCCTAACATCTGGTGTGGTTTGAATACATGTCCCCCAAAAGGCCATATTTTAAAGGCTCAGTGTCCAGTGTCACACTATTGTAAGGCTGTTGAACCTTTAGGAAGTGGGGCCTAATGGGAGGATCTGAGTCACTGGGGGCATGAAGGAGTTTTGGGAGCCCAGTTTCATCTTCGTTCCCTCATACATCCTGGCCATGAGATAAGCAATTTGCTTGACCGCATACTCTCTGCTATTGCCATGTAGCATAAGCTACCAGAAGCCCAAACCAATGAGTCCACCCATCTAAAATGTATACTCAAGTATAGACATGATGATATACACATTTTTATATAGAACATGTTTACAACAGTGGGACTATTTGATTGGACTTGGTGGACAAAGCAGAGGAAAAGGGAACGATAGAGAACAAACTATATTGAAATACATTGCATCTGTGTAGGAAGATAGCACAATTAAATATACTGAAAGCTGCTGAATAATGGGGAGTAGAGGGAGAGGTAAGGAGAGTAATAAAGGGCATTAAACTAACTAAAGTATATTCACAGGTGAAATACTATCATGAAATCCCACTGAACAATGAATATAGACTTAGAAATGAAGGACAGGATTGTAGAGCAGATCCTACTAGGGAGTGAGTATTAGTGGGAGAGGGGAGGTTGAATGGAAGACATAAAGAAGGGCCAATGTACTTTATATATTTATATGAAATATAAAATTAAAACTGTTGCAATCATTTTAAGTGGGGGCAAAGGGGATGAGTGAGAGAGATGGTGGGTGCAAATCTAATCAAGGTACATCATAAGCATATACAAAAATATCACAATGAAACTCCCCTGTATAAGTAATATATGTTAATAAAGATATTTTTTAAAGGAATCTCTATCAGTCAACCCAGGAACAAGACACCAATTGCTGTAACATCCTGTGATGTGGCTCTTGTTTAGGGAACTTCTCCAGAGCAAGCCTTCACTACAGCACCTATAGTACCCAGGGTAGTAAGGGAATATGCTCACTTGTAATGGAGGTCTAGTTGTGGACCTATGGAATGCACTACAGTGTCCAGACATCATATTCATGTAGCAAAATATATGAATACACATTAATTCTGCCTGTATAGTGGATGTGGTCTTGTGAATGATGTGTTAAAAGAAACACTTAGGCATTCCAATTCTCCTAACTATATGGGGGGGTACCTTTTTCCCTAGATACATTTTATTGCTAACATTAATAGTCAATAATATTTGAAAAATACTATATTTAGTCAGGAGGCAGTGAATAGTGAAAAAATAAGAATATTCCTAAAAACTGTATTCAACCTTTCAGTTCCACCAGTGTTTTTCTGTCTTGTTTTAGGACCAAATTTTAAAACTCAGGGCTAAAAAAAAAAAACCGAGCTAATTTCAAACTTCTAGTGCCTTACAAAGAACAAAATAGTCTTTATAAGGAAAATATATTTACATCAGGATGCACACATACCCAGCTAATTTAATTAAGCACAGCAAATTCTTTATCTGAGTTTAACTATATTGAGATGCCATATAAATTCAATACACAATAAGATAATATTCAGCACAAATACTAGTGACATAAAATATGTCCCAGAGTTCTAGTAAGTTCTGTATCTTACAAGATGTAGGACAAATTTTACCTGTAGTCTTAGTAAAATAATAATAGACATGTGTGTCAACATGGCAGAGCCTTAAGTCCTGTGAAAAACAATTCCTCTTACAAGTATAGAAGGGGGATTCATATTTTAAAAGCACTTTTAAATAAAGCTGGCAAAAGCTTTTTTTGCTTATATTTTAGATGCATTAACTCCCTTTAAGATATTCAAGAAATGGTAACGTTAGTTACCTGTGGGAAGCAAACCTTATGGCTGAGAAAGGTGAGTGATTCAAAAACTTTCAAATATTTTTTGCTTTTTAAAATTTTGAACCCATGTGAATATATATATATTCAATACTTATAAAGAGCATTTTGTCTTCTGAGATTCCTCCAAGTTTCTGCATTTTTATTATCTTAGGTTGGCTAAAACTATTTTATACTGATACAGGTGTGGGGAGAATTTTCACTGAAGAATAACTATTAGAATGCCATAATTCACCAATTGATTATTATATACTATTTTGCCAAGCGACTTGAGTGCTTATTTAATCCTCATCACAAAATATGAGATGGGTGGTGATATTTTTCCCATTGCACAAATGAGAGGCCTAATGTTTTTGTGGATAAGTAGCTCATCTGAGATCTTGTGGCTAGTCAGTAACTAGTGAACCCATGACTGTCACACTAGCACTCTAACATAGGACCTTGCAGTTAAAACTGAGGTACTCATAATCTAGGCCCTTCTTTTCTTTAATATTCATTGATAGAACAAAGTTGTTACTTTTGTTATCATTCATTCACCTTCAAGTTAGAATTAGGAAAATTAGAGGGGATCCAAGATGGTGACTAGAGTGCAGAAGCAGACAGCATGAACTCCATAAATCAAAAATCTTGCTGAGATGCTGGAGACACACTTAGCAGAATAAAAGCACCAAGAATAATCAAAACTTTGACACTCTGAACCCCCAGTCCATACAAAGCTTCTCCAAGCCATGTTACACTGAGAAAACAGGAGAGCTCCTGTGCGACAGATGCCAGCTCCAAACCTGCTTGGGAGACATCCAGCAGACCAACAGCAGGATGGATGGTGGGTCACAGAGCTGATCTCCAGAACCTAAGGACAAGCCACACTTCATTGAGGGAGGAGCTGCTGCTGAAAGACAGGAAAAAAACTGGTGAGTCTCCCCAACCACCTGCCGAGACTAAGACAGAGCTTCTGCTTAAATACCAACACTAGGACATATTATCATTAAAACAACAAGCACAGAGAAATAAAGAATACTGAAGGTAGTAAGAGAGAAAAAACAAATAACATACAAAGGTAAACCCATCAAAATCACAACAGATTTCTCAAAGAAAGTATTAAAAGCAAGAAGAGCATGGAATGAGGTATTCTGGGCACTGAATGAAAATAACTTCAACCCTAGGATACTCTACCCAGCAAAACTATCATTCAAAATAGATGGAGCAATAAAACTCTTCCATGATAAGCAGAAACTAAAACAATATATGACCACCAATCCACCACTACAAAAGATTAAGAAATTCTACACACAGAAATGAAAGCAAACAAAACCATGAGAGGACAGGTAGTACCAAACCACAGAAGAAAAAGACAAGAAATCAGAGAGTAACATTGATTCAGCTGCACACAATCAAACCCTTAAACAACAAAAATAACTAAATGACAGGAATCACAATTTAACTATCAATACTAACACTGAATGTTAACAGACTTAACTTCCCCATCAAAAGATACTCTTTGACAAACTGTATTAAAAAGGAAGATCCAACAATCTGTTGCTTACAGGAGACCCATCTCATTGACAGAGACAAGCACTGCCTTAGGGTGAAAGGCTGGAGGAAGATTTACCAAGCCAATGGCCCCCAAAAACAGGGAGGAGTAGCCAAACTTATCTTGGACAAAGTAGACTTAAAACTTACATTGATCAAATGAGATAAAGAAGGATACTCCATACTAATAAAAGGGGAAATACACCAAAAGGAAATAACAATTATCAACCTATATGCATCCAACATCAATGCACCCAATATCATCAAACATACTCTGAAGACCCTAAAAACATATATAGACTCCAACATAGTGGGAGATTTTAATACCCCCCCAATCACTGAGAGAAGTCATCCAAACAAAAATTCAATAAAGAAATTCTAGAATTAAATAGCACCATAGATCAAATGGACCTAGCTGATGTCTACAGACTATTTCATCCAACTTCCACACAACATACATTCTTCTCAGCAGCCCATGAAACATTCTTCAAAATTGATCATATCTTAGGGCACAAAGCAAGCCTCAACAAATATAAAAAAATAGTAATAATCCCATGCATTCTATCTGATCACAATGCATTAAAACTAGAACTCAACAACAAAGCAATAGTAGAAAACATGCAAACAATTGGAAGCTGAACAACACATTGCTCAATGATCAGCGGGTCATTGATCAAATTAAAGAGGAAATTAAATGGTTCCTGGAAGTTAATGAAAATGAAAACACGACCTATAGGAACCTGAGACACAGCAAAGGCAGTCCTAAGAGGAAAGTTTATAGCCATGAGTGCATATATTAAAAGGATAGAAGGATCTCAAATAAATGACCTAATGCTACATCTCAAACTCCTAGAAAAACAAGAACAAGCAAATCCCAAAACAAACAGAAGGAGAGAAATAATAAAAATAAGGGCCGAATTAATGAAATAGAAACAAAAAGAGCATACAAAGAATCAATGAAACAAAAAGTTGGTTCTTTGAAAAAATTAATAAGATTGACAGACCCTTGGTAAACCTGACTAAAATGAGGAGAGAAAAAAACAATCAGTAAAATCAAAAATGCAAAAGGGGAGATAAAACAAACACCACAGAAATACAGGGAATCATCAGAGACTACGTTGAGAGCCTATATTCTAAAAAATTTGAAAATACTGAAGAAATGGAAAATTTTCTAGATACTTATGAAGACCCAAATTGAACCAAGAGGAAATTAATCACCGGAATAGATCTATAACACAAAATGAAATTGAAGCAGCAATCAAGAGTCTCCCCAAAAAGAAAAGCCCAGGACCTGATGGATTCTCTGCTGAATTCTATCAGACATTTAAAAAGAACTAATACCAACCCTCTTTAAAATGTTCCATGAAATAGAAAGGGAAGGAACACTGCCTAACTCATTTTATGAAGCCAGTATTACACTTACCCCAAAACCAAACAAAGACACTTCCAAAAAGAAGAACTATAGGCCAATCTCCTTAATGAATATTGACACAAAAATCCTCAATAAAATAATGGCAAACCAAATCCAACAACACAACCAAAAAGATCATTCACCACGACCAAGGGATGTGGGGATGGTTCAATATATGTCAATCAATAAATGTAATACAGCACATTAACAGAGGCAAAGACAAAAACCACTTGATCATCTCAATAGATGCAGAAAAGCCTTTGATAAGACCAAACACCATTTCATGATAAAAGCTCCAAGAAAACTAGGAATAAAAGGAAAGTACCTCAACATTATAAAGGCTATATATGACAAACCTACAGCCAACGTTATACTTAATGGAGAAAAAAACTGAAACCATTTCCCTTAAAACCAGGAAAGAGACAAGGATACCCACTATCCTCACTCCTATTCAACATAGTACTGGAATTCCTAATCAGAGCAATTAGGCCAGAGAAGAAATAAAAGGAATATAAATAGGTAAAGAAACTGTCGAAATATCCCTATTTTTAGCTGACATGATCCTATATCTGAAAGACCAAAAAACTCTACCCAAAAACTCCTGGACATTTGATCCAGCAATCCCACTCCTGAAGATATATACCAAAGGAATGTGACAAAGGTTACTCCAGAGGCACCTGCACACCCATGTTTATTGCAGTGCTATTCACAATGGACAAGTTATGGAAACGGCCAAGATGCCCCACTAGTGACAAATGGATTAAGAAAATGTGGTATTTATACACAATGGAATTTTACTCAGCCATGAAGAATGAAATCTTATCATTCTCAAGTAAACGGATGGAACTGGAGAACATCATTCTGAGTGAGATCAGCCAGGCTCAGAAGACCAAAAATCGTATGTTCTCCCTCAAATGCAGACGTTAGAGCTAGGGCAAATACAGCAATGTTTTAGGCCTTGGATCACATGCTAAGGGGAGAACACATACAGGAGGTATGGGGATAGGTAGAAAACCAAAAACATGAAAGCATTTGATGTCCCCACTCCAGAGGAGCTAATGCAGAAACCTTAAAGTGACAGAGGTCAACACGAGAAGGGGATCAGGAACTGTGTAAAGATCAGTTTGAGATGAATCAACTTGGGTTATAACACGTGTACATGAAAGCAATGCTAGGAATCTCTCTGTATAGCTACCCTTAACTCAGCTAGCAAAAATGCTTTGTCTTCTTTATTATGCTTCTGTCTTTTCTTCAACAAAATTAGAGATAAGGGCAGAACAATTTCTGCCTGGAAGTGGTGGGGGGATGGGGACAGGGGGCAGAAATGACCCAAACAGTGTACACACATATGAATAAATGAATAATAAAAATTTGTTTTAATTTACTAAAGGCAAGACCATGGTTTCCTGGCATCATCACAAAAACAGCCTATGGTGATTATTAAGAAAAAATACATATTTCTATGTCTACTATTGAAAATTCTGATTCAATAATCCCGAGGAAGGCTAATATATTGATAAGGGTCTGAGACAATTTTTGTAATCATATCAGTTTGAGACACTGCACTAAGCACACAAGACAGAACCCTGAAACACTGCTTTCATCACCAATTCCATTATCTCTAATAGCATATATACTTACCATTGCTATAAACAACTCACGGAAGATATTTACCAGTCCTATAGATCTCTTCCTTCTGGTAGTACAATCCAACCTACAAATATGTGATCTAACCTACAAAAATGTAGGAGAAGTCAAATTTTCAGACTTCCAATCCAATTAATTGTTTTTCTTAATCATTTTATAATCAAGAAATCACTCCTACTTTAAAAGTTATTTTTAAAGTTATACAGTGACTTGACCTTTTATCACCAAAGTCAACTTAAAAGAATGAGTTGCTAAAAGACATAATCTGGTAACTATTTCACTCTATAGTTGTGCTATGTTAGATTCCTTGAAGGTGTGACCATAAAAAGAATATTACTTTAGGGGAATTAAATATTCAGTGTTACATTTTTATGCCATGAGACGAGATCAGGCGCGTTCAGGGTGGTATGGCCATAAACCATTTTTATGCTATGTAAAGTGATTCCAAAGTATCCATGACTATAAAAGCTTTACCAAGCCATCAATGTCTCTGAATATAACTGCAACATAAGACTCACAAGCAGAGAGCCCAAGGACATACACAGTGAAGCAAATTTCCCATATGGGAGTCACAGATCTTCTCAGATAATCAGACATCCTAGCTCTGTACCCCGGTAAGATTCAAACAGAAACTCTTAGGTAATCCAACTAAATAGACCTATCAACTGAATAATAGAATATCACTTTAGTTAGAGGATAGCAAATTCTCAGAAATAGCCCTAAAGCTTATAAAAACTAAACACATCAGTCAATTTAAGATAAACCTGTGCTGAGATCATAAATGGAAAAATTTAAGTCATTCAGGACACAGCCTTTACTTGAAAGTTGACTGAAACATTATAAACAGATAATTGCAAGAAGACCAATGGTAACACCATCACAGATAGACTGGACAGACTAGGTGGACAAACTAATCAACATAGGCTAAAGATTTGCTGCTATTTGTTCTTGTTTTTCCTGTGTGATTGGAGCTAAGTGGGGTTAGCCCTATAAACATCTCCCCATTACTAATAACCAAAGGAAAAAACACAGGTTGTACAAAATATGCAACCTAGAAATTTACAAAGACTTTAAAAACATCAATGTTTTTAAATAATGTTTTAAAACAATGTTTTTAAACATTTGCATTAATATTGTCCATTTTCTCCCAGTCTGATTATACACTAATTTCAGCTCAAACAGACGTAGTCTTCCCAACTCACCTGTTTCAACAAGAAACAATGAGAGTTCAGCCAGATGTGGTGGCGCATCCCTGTAATTCCATCTAAACAAGAGACAGAGACAGAAAGATTCAGGTTCACGGTCAGCCCTGGCAAAGTTGGTGTGATACCCTATCTGAAAAACAAACTAAAACCAAAAGTACTGGGGTTGTGGCTCAAGTGGTAGAGCAACTACTTAACAAGCATGAGACCCTGAATTCAAGCCCTAGTACCGCCAAAAAGAAAAAATCATTAGTGTTCATTATCAATTATGTAACATTTTGAAATTTTCAAAATAAGCAATGACAGCTACTTTATTAATGAAAGAAATATATTTTTAAGTAATTATGTGTTATTGCTAGACTCCAAAGGGTTAAAAAGACATTCTCAAATATAGAAAACAAATTCTTAAAGCAGTTAAATTGCAGTGTCTGCATCAACAACTATGCCTATTTTGTTCCACAGTGAAAACTAGTAACTGACAATTTTAGAAGAAAGGCAACTAACACCAAAGAAGTCCATCAATCGTCCCTTTTTTAAATGATAGGGAGAGATGATGTGTATCACAAATGCATAGACTAAATGTATCCCCCCCAAAAAAATTCATATGTCAAAGCTTACCCTATATTCCCAATATGATGGTATTTGGAGGTGAGACGTTGGGGAAAGAATTAGGTCATGAGGGTGGAGCCATCATGAATGGGATTAGTGTCTTCATAACAGGAGACACCAGAAAGATTCTCTCTCTGTCTCTTCTCTCTCTCTCTCTCTCTCTCTCCCTGGTGTGAGATGTGAGGACAAAACAGTCATGAGCAAACCATGAACAGTGCCCTTATCAGACACCAGACCTTGGACTTCTCAGCCTCCAGAACTGTGAGAAATAAATTAATTATTACTTAGGTCACCCAGTCCATGATATTAAATCAGCCTGAGCAGATGAATATAATTCTCCTCGTAGAACATTTCCTTGGGAGTGGTTGTGAGATCTCATAAAATCTGGAAAAGATAAATAACAATCATATAACTGCAAAAGGTCCCAAAAGCTCTCAAAGAAGATTCAGAAGAGTTCTACTTTAGTTTCAGCCCTAAATAAGTTATGTAACTACACGTCTCATGTCTCAGCTTCCTGTCTGCTCAGTGTGTCTTTAGGGTTACCATGGAGATGGATGAGGCAATGTACAGACGCAGCACAATTTCAAATACTGTTTCCTTACCATAATTTTTCTGCTAAACACTAACAGCATCTGAAATTTTAGCCCTTGTTTCGATTTAGCCTCATGTTTCTCCAGACTGCTCTCTCTCTTTGTAATTACTATGACAACCTTCCTACTTTGTGATACATAGGGTTTCCTTTATTTTTTTCTATTACCCCCCACATAACCAACAGCCTTTGGCTGTTAACAAAATGCCCCAGCCTTGCAGCTATGCCATCACTGGTACTAATCAAGTAACAGAAGAGGGGAGGTATAGGCTAGTCAGGGAGTTTTCATCCTTGACCAAAGAATCAGAACAAAGGTGATCCCTTATATGAATGGCTTAAATTTTGGTTCCCAGATCAAATCACTGGAGCAGAATTATTTGTCTTCTAATTGCGAGAGATGCTCCAGGCAACTTTTGTTGGAAGCTTCACAAAGGTATTCCCACTACACCATGAGGATGTCTGGAATAATGGCCTGTTTCCAAACCTGTCAGATTCATTGAGTGAATCAGAGCAAATTAGCAAACACTGCCACATCCTTCAAACCTGCTTCATCTACATGACTCACGTCCTGATACATCTTTCATAGACGATATAGCTATTTTTCATCACAATCATACATAAGCCTTACCAATGAAACATTCACTCAGTATGTGCCTGTGATTATGTATCACCAAACTCTCCCCAAAGCTACTCTTTTAGATTAAAAGACAAAAATATCTTAAAGTTTAAATACTATAAAACAAAATCAGCATTTCTTTCTTGCTCAGGCTCAACTTGCTTTTTATTTTTTCAAAATCTTACCATGAGGGGAAAAAAAGAGCTATAGAAGAGAAAGGACAATGAAGTAGATTGCAAAAGGTATTATGAAAATTTTACCCGTTTCTTTTTCTTAACTTTCACTGTTGGAAAATAACCACTGACTTGCTTTTTCTTTCCACTTGTGTACATTCAGTAATTTGTACACATTGAGATATAAAGACATAATTCCCAAATCTATTGGTTAATTCATAGTTAACACTAAATTTCAACAGAGGAGAAAAAAACTTTCCTGTCTTTTCCCAAAAGTAATAATGGTGAAATTATTTTCCATCATTAAAAGCATAAGAAAAAAATGAAACTGATGCAAGAGCCCAGAGTCTATTTTTATATGTGAAGAAAAATATATTTTAGTCAGGATTTGTAACATCTGTAATTCCTTTTGGAAACCAAATTTCTACCCTGCAGTGATGTTTCATTATTTGGGACTGAGCCAGTTTGAACATGATGACTTTGGGTTGCCAACTGGCTTCAAAAGTGTGAAGATGCCTGTGAAGTCACTGACACCTGGCACTTGCAATGCCAGAAGAAGGGCCTTCTCAGGTACACTTCCACATGCTTGTGATGTCACAAAGAGGCAGAGTATTCCAGTCCTCTAAAGGAAAAAAAATATGACTCCACCTTGTTAGAAAGAAGAGTCTGACAAGCAGACAGAGTAAGCTCCCAACAAGGTAATTCCTTCAAGGTGAGTCATACTCCCTGGGAACAGGTGAAGGTCACAGGTGGTATCATTCAAACTTCCAGGCCAGCAGGAGCCACCCACAGGACTCCTGAACCCCTATATTCTCTCATCTCCAAACATGTCTTTATTTCAATCTCCAAAGCCGAAGAATATACCAACCATTGCCTTCTCTCTTTTGTTAATATTATCAATATTAACATTAATGCCTATGTGTGTTAACACTATACTAGGCCTCTGACAGAGAATGATAAAGAAAAACAAAATAGAAAAGAAAAATCCTACAGTCTTGAATCTCATGGGAAAATAGAGAAAAAGAACTAAGAAATGTTCTAAAAAAAAGTCACTGTGAAGAGACTAGTTGGAGAGGTTGTACTCAGAAAAGTCTCATGTCCAATCTTTACTGCATATACAAATCATTCAGAGATCTTGTAAAAGGTGCATATTACAGTGGAAAATGTAGATTTAGTGGGCCTGGGGCAGAGCCTGGAGTTATGCATGCTTTCCAGGCCCCCAGGTACCACTGCTGCTAGTGGATGAGATTCATATTTGAGTCTCTAGGGTTCTCATTTTAGTTGTTCTCAAAGTGTGGTCACCAGACCGACAGTAACTACAGCAGTACATGGATACAGGCCAGAAATGTAAATTCTCAGACCCCACAGGAGTCTGAAACAGAAGCTAGGAGGGGAGAGGGGAGCATCAGCAATCTGTATGTCAAGGAACTCTAAAGTGATTCTGATAACCTGCTAAACCCCATCTGTCAAATGCAGTAGTTGCTAGCCACATGTGGATACAAGCATTCAAAATGTAGCTACTCGGAATTGAAATATGCTGTGCTAATTTCTCATTAGACCTCAAGGACTCAAAAAAATGGAAAATACCTTATTAGCAGTTTTCTTTATACTGAACACATATTGAAGTACTATATTGTATATATTGGGTTTAGTTAACTATATTAAGATTGGTTTCATCTGTTTTACTTTGCTTATTGTAGTGTGGCTGCTTAAGAAAACTGAAATTACACATGTGGTTGGCATTAACATTTCCCTGGGCAGTGCTGAACTTGGAAAAGCATTGCTGTAGAACAGTGATTCTCAACTGGAGAAGTTTCGCTTCTCAGTAAACATTTGGTAATATCTGTAGACATTTTTGGCTTTCATGATGTAGGCACAAAGTTCTGTAGGTATCTAGTTAGTAGAGGCCAGGAATATTAGTAAATATCCTATAATGCACAAGACAGCCTCTCACAGCAAAGAACTATCGGTCCAAAGTGTCAGTACTTCCGAGGCTGAAAATCTGTTCTATTGCAGTAACTCTGCTCATTAGAATCACCAAGGGAGAGTTAAAAAAAAAAAAAAAAAGCAAATCAAAACATTGATGTCCTTGACCTGTCCCCAAACTAATTAATTTAGAACCTCAGGTACTGAAGCCCTGGCAGTGGTTCAGTGGTTGTTCATTTTGCTGGTTTCTTTTCTTTTTTTTTTTTTTTCTTTTTGGTTCCTTGCAAATTGTAATGCACAGACATGGTCCAGAAGATCTGTTCTGGAAGGAAAGATGGAAGCTCCACTTGTTCATAAATTCCCTGTGCTGACAGCACCCCTCACCTCTCAATCCCAGAATTTGCATTTCTAACAAGTTCCCAGCTGGTGCTGAAGCCACTGGTCTGGTGTCCTCTGGAGCATTTGCATACCATTCAACAGATCACTGCACATTTCTCCTCTCCGGATGGCCACGGGAGCCCCACCAGACCCATGCAGCTGCTTCCTGCCTAGGAAAGGACAGTTCCCTGCCAATGGTCCCTTTGACTGAAACCTGAGACTCTATCAAAGTGACTTCCCCGTTACCTGAGACAGAATTAACACTTTCACTGGGGCAGAGAATGTGAAAAGGCAGTGAGAGGGGTCAAATACTTGTGAAAGTCTTTCTAACTTCACTGCAAGCAGAAAACAAAACTTTTCAGTTAGCAGGTCATCTTAGTGAAACTATTTCATTTGATTATTTAATTCTTGCCAATACATAGTTCAAATAACTGAAATAATTTTGTACAGATTATAAAATGTCACAGATTAGTTTTTCTCCCTGAAACTAATCTATAAAAAAAACTTGAGCTGTAAACATTTTTGGTCCCTACCTTCTTAATTTTGAAATGCACACACTGCACACACACACACACACCATTATCTTTCTGAACACATCCCCTCCTTACAGTCATGCTGACCTGACCTGAACAGCAGCCTTAAGACCTCTGCACTACAAGTGTTCTCTAACAACATCTAAACGGATCGGATAACTTCCCAACTTCCCATTGTCTTTGCTTAAACGTCACCTTCTCATTCCCATTTGGACCCCTCTTTCTCAACCCGCTTTACCTTGCTCAACTGTGTTTTTTTCCTATAGCAGATATTACATTTTAACAGCATCACCTAACCCACTTACTCTGCTTATTGTTTACTGTCTGTCTCTCATCTTGGAATTTAAGCTCCACAAGTGTAATATCTTTGTTTTGTTTATTGACATTTTTTAAATGCCTGAAAATGATGCCTGCAAATAGTGGGCAAATAGTAAATATTTGCTAATTGAATAAATGTTTTTTAATCCAAAACTATTTCATTTTTTCATAACTTTATTGTAGTTACTTAAAAATTACAAATCTCTTTGTGGACTTCTTTCAAAGTATCTTTCCTGTGGTGTAATCAAGTTACTAGAAGTCATATTTGATAGAACATCCCAAGTCAACTGAGGAGTCAAGCACCTTGTGAAACTGAAATGATGTCACCATGGCTGCAGTGTGATGACTAAGGGTAAATGATTATAATGAATACCAAACAGGTGAACAGAAGGCAGACTATTAAGGTCTTGTGAACCACATTAAGAAGCTTGAATAATGTTTTCTGGTATTTAGGAAACAACTGGAGGTTTTAGGCAGTAGGTTAGGCAGAGTCTCTCAACATTATAACATGTGGTTGAGTAGACACACTGGAATTCTCTCAGGGTGGGACTAGCCACTTTTGTACTCAATGGCCTTTCTGTCCCTGGTCTTCTGATGGTGTATAACACAGAAGGCTTGGTTTTCCTGGATACAA